CCCCTGCATCGGCAGGCGGACTCTCAACCACTGCGCCACCAGGGAAGCCCTGTTAATACATCTTGTAAATACTGTTTGGATAGGATACATTCATTCTTCACGTTGATTCTTAATGGAGTAACCAGTGCATCCAGGAGACACTTGGAAAGATTTTGTAGATGTGTTTGCTCCAGAGTTATTAGATTTGCATATCAGCCTTCTAGAAATCTTTCAGTGTGCTCAGTGAAGGGTAGTGCATCGAACCCCACTTATTGCCCCAACATTGGGATGACTAATTGTGCTGAGATTACTGCAGTCTGTTAGACCGCTTCCCATCACAAGTTTGTCTTAGGTGGGAGTGGGAAGTGTGTTTCTTTCTTTCTTTTTGTTTTTTTCTTCTTTTTGGCTGCACCACGTGGCGTGCAGGATCTTATTTCCCCGACCAGGGATCAAACCCGGGCCCTGGCAGTGAAAGCTCCAGAGTCCTAACCACTGGACTGCCAGGGAATTCCCTGGAAGTGTGTTTCAAATCAGATTTAGACAATGATGGGAGTGTTTCAGTCTGGAGACACATTGTATTCCCTCAAAGGTGTCCTCAGGCTTTGAGTGGATATGCTAACATTAGGTCTGAAATTGAGTAAAGTGGGGAAGGATTGAGGAATTAAACTCCTCGATGGCATGTCAAGAAATATGCAGGCTTCTTTGAGTGTCACTTTTTATTTCTAAAGCTGTAGGATGGTATTGGGCTCTGCTCAGGTGATACGTAAGTCTGGTACTTTCGGAAACAGGTGCAGTAGGATTTTTTTCTGGATCTTAGCGTTCTGCTAACCTCTCATTTTCTTCCGCCTTTCCTTCCCTTTCTAAAACCTTCCTTCATCCAGTTGGCCAGTTCTACTTCTTAATCCGGAAGAGGATCCACCTGAGACCCGAAGATGCCTTATTCTTCTTTGTCAACAACACCATCCCTCCCACTAGCGCGACCATGGGCCAGCTGTATGAGGTAATGGTCCTGGTGACAATACTGTGCAGTCTGGCCTTCTCTAGCTTTTGTCCCAGGTGTGTTATCAACATCCCAGGTGTGTTACCAACATACCTGGGAAGTGGGGCAGGAGGTGTTGTTTATCAGGTTCCTTTCACAAGGCCGTGTCAGGCTCTGGGAGATCAGGTGCCACTTGTCCCTTACGGAGTGAGCAGCCCTCTAGATTCAGTCCCTTTGAATTCTGTTTTTAGTCTTGCCTTGCTATAGTGTTTTAACATTGGATTGTCTTTATTGAAACAGGAGGAAGTGGTTTCTGACTGCAAAAATTCCAGATAAAATGAAATTTAAAATTAAGGCAGCCTTTAAATGGATTCATTTGTCTTCACAGATAGACTCAGTTGGAGGGAATAACTTGAGTGTTTTTATTTGGTTTAATTGGTAAAAAGTGTCAGGATCTGAGGAGAAAACTATAATAAAGGACTTTATCATATGCTATACCACCTAAGATTGTTACTGCATTATTATTCCTTAAAGGGTTTCACACAATACTGCCTTCTTTTTGTGTCTCATTAGCAACTTGCACAAACTTTTCTAATAACCTCTCATTTTTATTCCACAGCATACATTCTCTATTAGTTTTTATTCCAGTATATATAGTTACATTGCATCTATGTTCCCCTTGCCAGAATGAGCCTTTTCGGGGTCATGTTTGTGTCCCTGGTGTGTATGGTGTTCTCCACGAAGGTTTTTGTGAACTCAGAGTTCAAAGTTGAATCCCAGCCACTTCTGCTTCTTCGATCCTCTTTTCAGTGGGGACTAATGATACCTCCTCTGCCTACCTTACAGAGTTGTGTGAGGCTCTGAATCCTAGGGATGATGAATGTGATTATGTTTTCTAAACCGTTGTCTTACCTCTTCCCCTAGGACAACCACGAGGAAGACTATTTTCTGTACGTGGCCTACAGTGATGAGAGTGTCTACGGGAAGTGAGTGGCGGAAGCTGGCCGATGGGAGCGCCCGGACTCGGGGCAGGGGGAGGGGCGTGTGTGGGGCTTGGGGAGAGAGAGCGGGGAGGGCTCCCCCCGTGGAGGAGACAGAAGGTGAAGACATCTGGAAACGCTACACTGCACACACCATCACCATATTTTCACATGCTCAGTTGATATTTTTGCTGCTTTCTCGGCCCAGGGAGAAAGCATGTCAGGACAGAGCTGTTTTTTGGCTTCATAGAAAAATGAGGATGCTCTAGTCTCACAACACTGCTGCGAATTAACTTTCGTGGGATTTCCATAGAAGAATTGGGGGGTGGGCAAGTTGGGGCCAGAGATCGTGGACCACCCGTAACTTTCCGCTCTCCTGTTTGGGCAGAGATTCTGTATTTGCCATTTGCCATTTCCCTGTATTTGTAGG